GTAGAAAAATATTACACTAAGACAATAGTTTATTGTAAACCTTGTTTCAATAATAGATCAATAGAAATAAATACAGTTGAAATAGATAGTCAAAAGAATAATTGCCCTAGTATAGAAAAACAGAAGACTAGTTCATTAATAACAATTAATTGTGAGTTAGAATTATCAAAAGAAAATAAATTTCAAACAACAGCCATGATAGATACAGGAAGCACAAAAAATATAATAAAAGAAGAGTTAGTGCCAGAACAATATAGGCAAAAATTAGCTAGACCAGTAAGAATCATACAGTTTGATACAAGACCTGTATACTTAACACATTGTATTAATAATATACCAATTAGGATAGAAAGACAACAGTTTAATTTACCCTTAACCTTTATATCCCCAGTAGGATCATATCCCTTTATCTTAGGATTAAATTTCTTAAAAAGTTTACAAGGAGGATTTTTATATACACCTCCAGACATTACATTTTTTAAGAAAGGTATAACCACAACTGATCAAAGTAATATATTAGAGTCTTACAATAGTATTAACATAGAAGAACAAAATTTTAAATATAATACGGAAGAATTAGTAGAAATAAGTAAAGAAAAAATAGATGAACAATATAATCTAGAATATGATGACATAATATTTGATCATGAGTATCCACTTATAGGAAACCTAGAACCTTTAGAAATTATGCAAATAGATAGACCAAAAAATTTAGAAGAATTGTTACAATTAGCTGAACAAACTAGAATTATAGGAGAAGATCCCCAATTACATTGGAATAAGAATAAGATATTAGCAAAATTAGATATTATTAACCCAGACTTAACAATTAAAACAGCAGATATGCCTTGTAACTTGTTAGATAAGCAAGAATTTGAACAACAAATAAAAGAACTTTTAAACTTAAAAGTAATTAGACCTTCAAAATCTAGACATAGATCAGCAGCCTTTGTAGTTAGAAAACATTCAGAACTTAAGAGAGGTAAAGCTAGAATAGTATATAATTATAGGAGATTAAATGATAATACTTATGAAGATAGTTATAAATTACCAAATAAAGATGAGCTTATGAATAGAATACAAGAAAGTAAATATTTTAGTAAGTTTGATTGTAAATCAAGATTTTGGCAAATTAGATTAGCAGAAGAATCAATCCATTGGACAACATTTACCTGTCCAGAAGGACATTTTGAATGGCTTGTAATGCCATTTGGATTAAAAAATGCACCATCAATCTTTCAAAGAAAGATGGATCAAATATTTAAGAAGTATGATAAATTTTGTAGTGTATATGTAGATGATATATTAGTTCATAGTAAGAA